CTATTTTCTAATTGGAAGTTTTTCAACCATATTCCGGCGTGCTGGAAAGGGAACGAAAATGTGTATAGTTAATTTAATTGAAAGGAAGAAATTGCACTTTATTCATTTATTGACTGAAGGTCCCTAGTTTCCACTGATTGCGGAAACAATGTATATGGACACAAACAACTAATGGCACCGCTAGAAGGCCCCTTCAAAACTTCTATCGCAGCATTGTATGCTATTTTATTTAGTCTCACCCGTTCACACAGCGCGGAGATGTCAGCGCCAGATCGCGAACATGGTTCGAGAGAATACAATTAAAGCTCTAAAGCTGTTCTATCACTACTCGACACGTTTGGTTTAAAACAACCAAATCGTGGGGTAAATTAAGGGCATTACTACTAAAAGCTTGGCATTCAAAGATTAGCCACAATTCTAAACATTTCAATTGCAATGTTCCACTTGTCAGCGGACAAAGTCGTGTGTCACGTACTAACCCGGACGATCGACACATCGCTATAGACCCAGAGAAACCCATCCAAAAGATGATGCACTGATGATTGTATTTATTCACACGCCATGTGGAAACATCACCACCGACTTGCAAAATTTGAAAATGCTCAGAAAAACTCTCAAAGTGTTGAAAAATAGAATCAATTTTGCTGTTGAACATCTCACTTTTTGGGCGGGAATTCAAATTGAAGAGCAGCGCAAAAAGGTGGTATACTTCTCAGCCTGACTGAGTCTGCAGAATGTTCAATGCTCTCAAGGTGACGACGTGTCAGTCTTCTGGGATATATGTTTTACAACCAGACTTATCCACCAAGTTAACCTCACTAAACTGGTTTATTTCATGACATGCTATTCAGTTGTATCACTAGCTTGGCCTACAGAAGATCTCAATGAATCCCTGCACGATGTATTGTGAGATGATTTGCACACACTCTCTCACTACCAGCCGGAACGGCATGACGTTTCCCTCGATGGAATCACCACTCGACCTCACGGCGAAGTGACGAGGGTCCATCAGGAAGACTCCATTAGAGTCCGAAGATGTACAATGCATGCGTATATTAGCGCACAATGCTTAACCGCTCTCTCATGAGCGCGGTGGAAGGTGAACGCCGTGATCTTTAGCGTCCACCCCCGTTGTGTGTAACATAGCATAGAAGCCACGAATGGCCCACAGCCCTTGGGATGTCTACAATATGGATTCACTGTATGACGATGGGTGTGAAGTTAAATTTGGCTTCATTGAGAACCGGTTGGTTTTATTCACGTCTAAAACTTTTTGCAAGCTCTGAACAAACTACAGATTCAATAAACTCACATGCCAGAGAGAGCATGCAGTCCAGAGGTGCGACAGAGAGAGAGAGAAGCTCTCTCTCCGAAAAGCACATCATTCTGAGAAGTACCCACCCACCAGTGCTCCTCCATCGGCTCTCTTATAAGCCATTGCGAATGTGAAACATCTAGACCAAAGCACTTGGGCACGAGAGTCACAAGAATCCACTTAAAGGCAATGAAATTCATCATCAACAGCATAGCCAAAGGATATTCAACAGTTCTGCTTCACTAAACAATTGATTGTCACAGTGAGCTGTTCATGAAACATTCGAATACTAAATACTCTCTCAATTTGTGCTGCAGAAGAAAAGCTGTATTGGAGCTATAGAAAATTGGGAATTGAAAGCAGTAAAGCCAAAAAACCTACATTAAAGAGCTTTTAAAGCTCTCTCACTGTTGTATTTGTACTCCGTTTTATGCATTTATGAAAGCAAAATTGCATGAAATATGAATACAGTTCTCACCTCTAAAGCCTTTAACCCTTATAAATTCTATGCAGGAGCCATCGTCTTGACTTCTCTGCTGAAGAACAGCTCTCTAAGGACATTTCCACTCCGAAATATGCAAGCGCGCACCATCTTCCTGTTGCTCCACTGGCAGCTTGCAGTGTGAATTGATAGAATCACCACGACATTCCGCCCTCCAACCGTTCACCTATGTGCCCTCAAGTGGCGGAGTCCTGGTGGGGAAGTTAAATAAATAATTGGGACAGGGTCTCTTGGTCTTCAGGGAGTCAGTCGGTGGTGTCTCCTAAAGTGGGAGATCGAGTAACTCTATCGGGTTGCTAGCGAGAAAATCATCTGTCATTTGGGCGGGTGTTCAGAGGGCAGAGCGAGGGTGTCGTGAACCGTGTGTCACATTCTTTTGCAATAATATATCGACGAGAAGCGGTGTGTCGCTCAGCATCGTTATGCCATTGTTGCTCAGCGGGAAAATAATGTGTGGGGTGGTGGCGGCAGAGGGAATGTCTCCATGGGAGTGAATTTTATGGTGAAGAGCATTTGCTTATAACTCTCTCTCTCTAGCAACGGCCGATATTGCGATGCTCCTCCGGGGCTTTTGTCGATGGTTGAGGGTGTTGTGAGGAGGAGAATCCTTCTGGCGCATTTATTGGCGCAATTTAAATTCAATTTATTTTGCACCAGAGAGAAGTCGCGTACAACACACTTTTCACTCCGTGCAATTTTCAACACCACCAGCGCTAGAGTGCGGTTGCAATTCATAAAATTTACACTACATCCTCCAAACTATGCGTACACACACCCCAGGAATATTTCGCGTGGCGTGAAATGTATAACAAAATGGCTATTTATAACTTCGTGTGCCACTCTTCCCATCATTTCTGCACACTGATCTTGACGGGCATCGTGACTGTGAGAAATCGGTCAGCGTCTTCGCGACTCGCTTTTGCGATTATTGCCACTTGTGTGACGCGATGGAAAGTCATTTTCCGCACACTTCTTCTCTCCCTGTCAAATGAAGACTTTCAATAAAACACGCCAAATTCAATTTTCCCCACGATTTTCCACCAGTCATCTCATGTCGTGCAGATCAATTTTCCCGGTCATCGAATCCCGTTGTTTGCGCGCCACCAGCGCTTAGTGAATTATTCCGTGCTGGTCCACTGATAGATGAGACGAACATTTACCCAGGCGTCCTCATCAAGATTCCCCCCAAGATGTGAGCATGCAAACGCCAGGGGGGGTGGCTTTAAAGCTGAGGAAGTGGCCCCACTGAGAGGGCAAAAGGAAGAACGTGATGGACGGGTTTCTGCAGATGTGTGAAGGGAAAGTTAAGATAAATTTTCCTTGCTCCTCCATTAGGAGACATTCACTGCCAAATTGCCATATTTGGGATGGTCAAATTACAACTGCCAAAGCATTGTGGCATCGTGAGGTGAACACTTGAGTGATTTTACACTCGTGGCAGAGACCAAGAAAAAAGGGTTCGTTCACCCGGAAGAATTGAACTCCAAATGCAGTATTTTTCCCCTCTTTCTCTCTGAACATGAAAATTATTTGTTTCCACCCGCGGAAAATCCCACGAGATTGCCTCGTAAAACCCCGAAGAAATCCATCGCAGCAGCTTTTCAATTTCCTATCAATAACCGTTCAGCATGACAAGCTTTATGGAGACACTTTCTCCTCGTATTTCCTGAGACGCGCACGCCAAACAATGCAAGAATTCCTCGAGGAAATTGAGCATGAATGGTATCAATTTGCAAATCCTTTCTTTGATATTAAAGCGCACAAAGTAATTGGAGCGATGGAAAATAAAATGATGGAATTACCTTGGGATCTGAGAGATGAGAAACTGTTCAATTAATCGCACAATTAATTAGGAGTGCCCTTGATTGATATAATTTAAGTGATTTAAAACTTCCCTTTCTTTGGAAGTAGAATTAAGAAATCCGAGAGTGTAAAAAGCGTTTTTAACTCTCGTTGTGAATAAAAATAATTTAAAGACTAAAGCTATAAATAATGAGCATTATAAAGTGAGCATTTTTATCATTATTCGTGAGATAATCGCAAAAGTTGCTCACTTCTCACAAATTCATTGCAAAATTAATATTGTGATTTTGATCGTTTAACTGAAGAATTAACAAAACTATAAAGAGTCGCTTCAGAAGCTATAAAATCTCAATTTTCTCATCAAAATCCCCATACTCTTCTCATCTTTCTTTTGTTGTGGGACCACAGAAGGAAATTCTAAAGACGACCACACACTATGTAAATCTCTTGTGACTGTCTCTCTCCTCTTTGGCTTCTATATCGAACAATCCACTCTGGCGTGGAATTTGGGCAAAAGCTTGGAAGGATTCGCAATATAAATTCTGTAAAATACAATGATATTAAAATTCTCCACACAGACGCGCCTTGAGTAGAGATGAAGTGAATTTCCCAGAGGATACGAGAGGGATTTCCTCTACTCAACGTCTGAGGAATTTTCTGGTGATTCTTCTACGTCATTATCTTCTTTTGTGTGGCCTCTCGACAAACTGGCGAAGTCGTGGCGTGACGACGCGATGAGTGAATCGCTCTTGGAATCGCTTCGAAAATTGCCAATACGCCCCGAGAGCGTGGCATTGTCGCAATATTTCTGCACTGGGAATCGAGAGTTAAATGGGAAATTGCTGTTCTCTGGGTGGTGTCAATGGTAAGATGAATGAGCGGGAGGACGCCTATTTGCATGATGGGGACGCAGAGTGCTTCTGGAGAGCTTACATTTGAATTCCATGCCGAAAAATTCCCCAGACGAATCATTTTTCCATAAGAATATCGGGCGGCCTGTTGGGTGGGAGGAAAGGGGTGTTTGTGGATGCTGTGTGAATGAGCTGAGAATCATTTAAGTGTGATATTTTATCTGCACATTAGCCCCAAACCCAAACTCCAAAATCCCACCCTTATTTTGTGCCCACATCTTTCAGTAGACAAAAAGTGGTGAAAGTTTTCTTGTGTGTATCTGCGAAAGTTTTCCCATTTCCCATCATCGCGTGTCGGAATCATGATGGTAGTGGTGGGAAAAATTGAAAAGTGCACAAATCGAATTTGTATTCAACCCCTCAACCCCCCGTCCGCATTTCGCTCGGCAATTCATCGCCCATTCACGCAAGTACTTCGCCCTGTGACAAAACATATTGACGAATTTGTTGAAAAATTTCCATAATACAGCAATTTTCTCAGTGAATGCGACAGAGCAAAACTCTTCACGGTGCTTTTGATGGGGAGAATGTAGTGGAATAATGGGCTGCGGAGGGTGTTGTTCTTGAGGCACCCAGAGGAAGAACAAGAGGAAGCCCGGAGTTGACAACATCAGGACGAGACGGGCGACAATGAAGTGCCGCTCCTTTGCACATTTCATAATTGTCACAATAAATCTGTGTGTTGTGCAAAAGGCGACAACCGAAGTCTTCACGCTAGGCTATCTCACGGGCTCACAGCGCAGAGTTGGTGATCTGGAGTACACACGACCAGGTAAGATGATGACACACTCAATCACGTCACACTTTCCACACACCAAACACGCGAATCCCTCTAAATCATCGAGATTTATGCTAAGGCGACACAACGCCTCAATTGACTGTCACGGAAGACATCAACAGAGAGAGAGAAATGATTAATTTTTCACCAACTTTAAATTGGGTCTCACGTACGAGGGGTGAAAAACTTCCTGGCACACGTGCTGATGTGGATATTTCTTTGTTTATCGCCTTTGTCGGAGATTTAAGGGCGGAAAAACCTCTTTATTGCAATCACAGAGTCTACAATTTGTATATTTTTTTAATTGATCTTGAAATAATCCTTAAAGTCCTCTCGATTTTTACACTTGTTCACCCCTCGTGATTGAAAATGAAAAATCATCCTCAGCTCTCGTTCGAGAATTTCTCCAAGAAGTCGTAACCAGAGTGAAATATACCCCTCGAACTTTTCACTGGCTGCTATAAATAGATGGGAAATGCCTTTTATATCTCACCAGAAGTATTGTTACTCCGTGTCCTTTTTGCTTCTTTTTCCTTGACTTTCAAAAGCGATTTTGTCTCTCGCATATGGCGCTCGTTGGCATGACAGAGCTTTTTCCCAAAAAATTCCGTGAAAAATTGCCTCCAATCGTGAGGGAAAGATTAAACTTCGGGGTGTATTAAATTCGCCTTTGGTGGAGACGTCAAGAAAGTATACTTTTTCATGGCACACATTGCTGTGGCATGAGAAGAATGATTGCCTTATTGTCATCAGAGGCTTGACCTATAGTGGGGTAATTAATTATCGTTGTGAAAATTAATATGTTGCCCGCATAGCGTAATCCTAAGTGAATTGAACTTCGTGGAGGCTCACCTTGAGTAAGAGGATTATTGTAATAAGAGGTCCGTACTAGTTTGTAATTAGATTTTCATCCACCCTCGCTTGGGCTCAGGCTCGAGTCGTGTTCCGAGGAGATTTCCATAAAATAATCATTTATGCATCCCTCTCGATTCTCATTGAATTATTGCCGCATGGGAATTTCCTTAGGCACTTCGTTTGGGGACTAAATAGATAAACTGTTGAGCGGTTGTAATGAGTTTTATCTGTTAAGATGGAAAACTTCCATGTGACAAATAGATAAGTTAGCCAACTTTTCCCATCAATTAGGACCACTGCTGGCGATTGATTGCCAATGAAAAACTTTCCACTTTCAGGACTCACCATATCTGGGGCCATTTCGTTGGCCATTTCTGAGGTCAACGGCGGTGTGCTCAAGGATTTGGGACACTCCATTGAGTTCATGGTGGCCGAGACGTTTGGCGAGGAAGTGTCCAGCATCCGCCAAACGGCTGCGCTCTGGACCAAGCAAATTGCCGGCTACATTGGACCACAAGAGACTTGTGTTCATGTAAGAACGCCATGCGTTTTTGTGTCTAATTGCTAAGATGTCAGATAAGAAGATTGTCAGCAATCAGGGTCTTTTACTCCAACAGGAAGGAAGGATGGCAGCAGCTTTCAATTTGCCCATGATTTCCTATGTGAGTTTGTTGTCTGTTGACTTTGAGTCTCCTCACACTAATTGCCCAATTCTGGCCATCAGTTCTGCACACACCGAGACACGTCCAACAAGAAGGACTTCCCCACCTTCGCGCGCACTCGCCCACCCGACACGCAAATCTCCAAGTCGGTCCTGTCGCTCTTGCTGGCATACAATTGGACACGTGTCACATTCCTGTACTTGGACTCGGAGGACAACGAATTCGGCGCCGTGGCGGAGACGATCGTGTCGACGCTGGAAGCGGCCGGGGTGAAAGTGCACATGATCCTGACGTGGAACACGATCTACCATCACGGATACTCCAAGTCGCCCTTCGACGATTTGGTTGAGCTCTCGTTCACCGACACAAGAAGTGAGTCTCAAAGGTTCAGCGCAAAAGCAATGACAGAAAGGCTTAGATAAAACTTTTTTATCACTTAATTGGGATAATAGAAACGTAAATCTTAATTATGCCCTCAACTTTGTACTTCTTGTCTAGGCAATGCTGTGTTTGTTTATTAGATTTATTGCCGATCATGAAGTTTTCTATCATTTAATAATTTTGAATGTCACTGCAATTTTTTCGCTAAATTCCTATGCCAAAAAATACCCCGAATTCGACCCCTTCTGACGTCATGCAAAGCGAGTCGTGCTTCTTCGGATCGAGCACCAAAAGACCAGGTTTTTCGACTTTATGTCAGGGACGATGATAAATAAATATTTTACGAGTATTTTTTATGATATTAATTTTTTTTATTAGTGTGTCCATAAAAATGTTTAAACTACTTTATAACATTTATGAGTTTGCAGATTAGTTAACTCTTCCTTTCAAAATGATTTATGAATGAACCATTTTTTGCCTCATCCTCGTAGTTTATCTGATTCTGGGCCACTACTATGAGCATTTAGGGCTGCTGCTGAGTCTGGAGAGGCGCAGACTTCTGGACCAAGGCGAGTACTTCGTCGTGGGCATCGACATTGAGCAGTACGACCCATCAGATCCGGAGAAGTACCTCAAGGGACTGCTGCAGGACGAGAGAGATGTGCGATCTGAGAAAGCTTTCAGGTCCTACATGGCCATCGTTCCGTCAGCTCCGGTTGCATTTAATGACTTCGCCATTAAGGTAATTTCCTCTCGAATGGAAAATTGTGCATGCATTGCTATGTTTTGTCATTTTGCACACCATGGAAATTGATAAGATAGGAGGGCAGGTGCTTTTTACTGTGGAGCACACAACAGTGTTTTTAATTAAATTGCTTAAATGGGTTAAAGTTGAATGGATTTTCAAGTTTTTCTTCCACCTGTTTCCAGGTGAACAAATTCATGGAGCTTCCCCCCTTCAACTACCCCAATCCACTGGGCCACATTGGCGGCGTGAAGCAGGTATTGGGGAGAATCACGCACAATAATCATTTGGTGACATGTATTATTGTTTTTTTCCTTCCTTCCTCTCCGCCAAGATTCGAGCTGAGGCGGCGTACTTGTACGACGCCGTCCACTTGTACACGAAAGCTCTAATCCGAGTGGCACGGAATGGGGGCGATCCACGCAATGGCACCGCCATCATCGATGCCATCAAGGGGAGCAACTATTTAAGTGCGATGGGGTCAGTCAAGACTGTATGTAGTCGCCGTGGAGAGCGTGCATGACTGTAAAAATACCACTTTCTCCCCCTCTTCTCATTGCAAACCATCACGACGTGTAGGTATCTGGTGCACATGGACGAGAACGGGGATGCTGCGGGCAATTACACGGTGCTGGCGCTGGGCAGGAACAGGAGTGGCAGTGGCAGGGATCCGGACAGGACGATTCTCGGACTCTATCCACTCGGGACATTCAGCAGATTGGCCGGGGATCGGGTTCCGGTGAGGAGTCGCGCCAGAAGAGCGTTAAACTTTAACTGAATTTCAACCCTTGTCCAACAGGATCTTCATCTCTTCCGGCACATGGAGTGGATCAGTGGCAAGTCCCCAATCGCTGAGCCTCAGTGTGGCTTCCGTGGGGAGAAGTGCATAAGCTACACTGGGGAAATATCCGCCGGAATAGCAGGTGTGGCCCTGCTCTTGCTGGGCATCGTGTCTCTCGTCCTCTACAGGAACTGGAAGTATGAGCAGGAGCTGGACAGCCTACTGTGGAAGGTGGACTTCAAAGAGATCCAAATGCACGAGAGTGACAAAGAAGGCAACGGGCAGAAATTAACCAGAGTAGGTCGCATTAATGGGTATTATTTATTTCTATAACTCTTACATTCCTTCTTAGGCCACTCATCCTTTAATAAGAACCAGCCAGGTTAGCCTGAGTTCCAATCCTGATGCTGATTTCCGCTACTCCACAATCTTTACACCAATTGGACTGTACAAAGGTCAACTGTATGCCATTAAGAAGGTGCAGAAGAAGTATGTGGACATCACGAGAGAGATGAAGAAGGAATTGAAGCTGGTAAGAGATGATAATGATCTAATCCTTTGATCTATCCTGTGTTGAGAACCTCAGTTGCTGTCTTTTCCAGATTCGCGATTTGCGTCATGACAATATTTGCGCCTTTATCGGCGCTTGCACTGATCCTCCGAACATCTGCATCATCACTGAGTATTGCAACAGAGGGAGTCTGAAGGATGTCCTGGAGAATGAGGACGTGAAGCTAGACAATATGTTTACAGCCTCAATGGTGGCAGACATCATTCGAGTAATTAGCGAAACTGCGTCATATTTAGGGTTCATTTCAGGATGTTCCCCTTCTTCCAGGGCATGATTTATCTGCACGAGTCTCCGCTGAGATACCACGGATCCTTGTGCACCAGCAACTGCCTCATCGATTCGCGCTGGGTGGTGAAGATCAGCGACTTCGGTCTGCAAGGCTTCAAGCAAGGCGCCGATGACATTCCCGAGCTGAGGAACATGTCTTCTAAGCACGAGAAGCTCCTCTACAGGGCACCTGAGCTGCTGCGAGCAGGCTCAACGGGCGGAGCGGCCGGGACGTGCAGGGGGGATGTGTACTCCTTCGGGATTGTTCTGTACGAGATTCACACGCGCCAGGGACCATACGGAGAGGAGGGGAAGCAAGTCCTCGAGTGTCTGCGCAAGATTCTCAATCCAATGGACCCGAGCGTGCCCTATCGTCCCTCCTTGCAGCCTCTGGAGTCGTCCTTCGACTGCGTGCGGGAGTGCTTGGGCGAGTGCTGGGCCGAACGGCCCGAAGATCGGCCAGACTTCAAGATGATCAGGGCGAAGTTGCGCCCCTTGAGAAAGGGAATGCGTCCCAATATATTTGACAACATGATGGCCATGATGGAGAAGTACGCCAACAATCTCGAGGCTCTGGTGGATGAGAGAACGGATCAATTGCAGGAGGAGAAGAAGAAGACTGAGGCACTCCTGCTTGAGATGCTGCCCAGACCTGTGGCGGAGCAGCTGAAGAAAGGCAACAAAGTCGAGGCGGAGAGTTATGACATGGTCACGATCTACTTCAGCGACATCGTGGGCTTCACGGCGATGTCAGCCGAGAGCACTCCTCTGCAGGTGGTGGACTTCCTCAACGATCTCTACACGTGCTTCGACTCCATCATTGGCCACTATGACGTGTACAAGGTGGAGACGATTGGAGACGCTTATATGGTTGTCTCTGGACTGCCGATTAGAAATGGAATTCTGCACGCCGCTGAGATTGCTTCAATGTCTCTCCACCTCCTGGACGCTGTGTCTGAGTTCAAGATTCGCCATCGTCCCAAGGAATCTCTGCTCCTCCGCATTGGCATCCACTCTGGGCCTGTGTGTGCTGGAGTTGTGGGCCTTAAGATGCCGCGATACTGTCTCTTCGGCGACACCGTGAACACCGCTTCCCGGATGGAGAGTACGGGAATGCCACTGAAGATCCACATCTCCGGCCAGTGCAAGCAACTGCTGGATCGCCTGGGTGGATACAATTTCCAGGAGCGCGGCGTAATTGCCATCAAGGGAAAGGGTGAGCAGAGGACATACTGGCTGGTTGGGGAGAATCCTGAGGCGCGCCTGAAGAGGAACAAAGAGCGCAGCGAACGTCGAGGCTCGAAGGGTCAGAACAAGCTGAAGCAGCAGACGTCCTTCAAGCTCTTCGATCCCATTCTCACTGCCGGCCTGCCCAGGAGCAGTCTGAAGAATCGCGGCATGCAGCAGAGACCCTCCCTGCCGAGATCCTCGAGTCTGGAATCGCCAAAGAAGCTTCGGTTTGCCAGCAACAATCTCCTGGAGCACTACAGTTACCAAAGGTAGGGAATCAAGTGTGCCCAGAGATTCCCTTAAATTGACAAATAATCTCCAAACTATTCCAGATACAGCGACGATGCTCTGCTGGAAGTCACCATCTCAGATTCCAGTCCTAGGAAGTCCACTAACGGCTCCAGCGAGGACTTCGCCTCCTCCTGTCCCTGCATCGAGAACCTGTGCTCCTTGGAGGAGAGGCAGGAGTTCAAGGATATCACTGCCATTCAATGCTTCAGTCCGACCGCGATAACGCCTCTCCTCTCCAACAACATCCACAACGTCGGTGTCTAGGCCGCCAATCCCGCTTCCACGGTACTTAACCTGAGGTTTCCGCCACACCCCACCCATGGACATGATCGGATTTATTATCTCTAGTCGTGAACAAGAAGAAAAAAATCTCAGTGCAACCACCATTTTTACAAATGGCGGTTGCTTATTGAGATTGAAGGCTCGTGTATTTTTTGTCATTCGTATTATTTTACTAAATGCATTGGAGAGATGATTGAGGATGACTAGGACAATTATAGCCACTTATAGAAAGCAACATATTAAATGTTCTTGGTGAGATTAACTCTCTTTTATTGCCATCATATTCGTTATTGAAATGGCTAAAGAATTGTCACGCAAAAGTTACTCCGGAACAATTTAGTTACTTCCTCCATTTGGTTCCCTTGGGAATTCATATTCTTGTAAATCATTTCCGTTCATTTTCCCTCCATTTTCCCTCCATTTGGTATGAAAAGAGCGGGAAAAAGAAAGAATCGCGCACTTTCCCCTCCACTCACATGCTCGACACTAGAGGCGCTGCGGCGCGAATTCACCTCTAGGCTCCGCAATCTCACCACTCTCTTGGTTACCATTCGCCACTCTCTTTGACAAGTGACAGTGTGAGAAAATAACTCCGCGAGTGCGAGAGGTTTTGCGCAAAATCACAAGACGAGGCAATCCAATTCAACTTTTTGTCCACCAGTCGATCTCTTCAGTTGGCCAAACTGTTGCATTCGAGTGCGATTTGGCTGGCCGACGGTTGGCCAACGTCCTGAGCCTGTGAGCAAAAACAGCCCAGAGAAAATCATGAGAGCCTCGATTGGCAGTGGCGAAGACACTGTGTGACGTGTTGGAGTGTACTTGATCCAAGTTCTCCCTCAATTAAAGGAGATTTTGAGAGTAAATACAAGAATTGAGTTCTTCTGTGCCGTGCTCGTGACTCCCCGTGATTCAGCCCTCGCGCAGTGACAGTCTTGGCGATTGTGATCTTTTTTGCGACAATGAGACATGATTTTCTGACTACATTTCCTCAACATTGTCGCCTTTAGTTGTGGTGTTGTCGCCTTCAGCGCTATTTCCTGCCGCTCTTCACTTGCCCCGAGAGAAAGATTTGTCTTGGGCCAGCAGAAAGCCCACCAAAGTCACCACGGGCGCACGAGGGAAGCCGTGTACAGTGATTATGATTCGGTAATGATGTGAGAGACAGTTTTTTGCGTGAGAAAGCGTGAAATTGCATGTGGTCGAACTCCTTTGTCCCCCCGCGTGACACGCACCGCGAGTGATTATCAGTGCCCGACACCCAGTGCTAAAGGACTGCCGCCGTTGATGCCGCGATCGGGACGTCCGCAGGGCAGCAGCCAGAGCAGCTAAAGCAGGAAAAGTTGCAGGCGCGCCAACAGCCACAAGGAAATAATTTGATGTTTGGATTACTGGTAAAATAATGAATGATAACACGATAACCACACACTAAATCTTCCCAACTATATAATTTCTTCCATCATCGCTCGCGCGCGCGCGCGCCTGTGTTGGGCGCTGTGTGTTTATGCGTGTGCGCGAAGGCAGCATCTGTGGATTTGTTGAGAAAAAAGGCAACACCATCCCGCGCGCGAGATGGTGTTTGTGTAGGAAAATACAAAATGTTTTTCTACACCACAGCGCGCATTCGGAAAGAATAAGAAGAAAAAAGGAGGGAGACTCACGAAGGCGCGAGTTTATTTTTAGATTCCGTGTTGGCCATGCACAGAGAGTGTTTGGCTCCATCTCGAATCATCTCACCCCTCGCGCGCATCTCATTTTGCTCTCACTCGCGCGCGCTTGTCTCTTCCCTTCTTTTGCACGACACAATCCGAAAGTCGTGTAATTGCAATTAATAATTCATACACGGCTCTTCCTGGACCACTTTTCGCCGCCGCGCACATCATTTAGCACCTCAGCAGAGCACAATTCGCGCCACTCTGGGGATTTTCCTCCGCCCGCGCGCGATTGCGCCGCGCGCGACACACGAGACCTCGTGATGGCCGTTTTCGAGGAAATTCCAGGGCATTTCCAAGAATTCCCCACGGAGTTCTCACAAGAGACTCGAGTCCAATTCGCCGCTGCTCAAGAGAAGCCACAATCCATCATCAGAAACATTATTTCTAATTGCACGATTGATTTACTTTATGTCTGAGACGAGATTTTGATTATTTTGCCATGATTTTTGACCTTTAAAGTTATAAATTCGTCCAAAATCTGTCTTTGGCATTCTGGGTCACAAAATGTAAGACTCAAAATTACAATTACAACATTTTACAACTCCTTGAATGCTTAACACTTCTTGGTTTTACTGGGAATTATTGATGCCAAGTTCGAGAAGGAGCAAAATTCTATATTCACACTTTCATTTGGTGTTTAGAAAATCGAACATATTGTTTTTTTTACATCTAATTCACTTCAATATAGAGACAAAAATTGAGATTCTTTCAGCAAATGATTGTCTATTGATGCTTCTTGGGCAAAACGAAAGAGCTGAGCTGGAGACAAGTGATGTCTTTTGTGTTCTTCCATTTGGCGAACATTGACTCTTCTTCACCCTTCACTTGCTTTCTTCACGCACCTCGCGAAAATCCATGTGCCTTTAATTGAGTCAAATGAAACGCAAATTTTGGGATAAATTTCGCCGTTCCGAATCGCACAACTGGAATAAACATTGCGCTATTTCGAGCTTGAAGTTCAAGTGTGAAAATGAGTGCCATTAAACCACAAGCTGAGAAGTAATTCTTGTGTTTTTTTTTCTTTTCTTTTGGCATTGCCTGGCGCTAGTTAAAGTTATATGTAAAATATTTTAATGGTTTCTTTTGGACCATTCAAATGGTAATTTAAAATGTATAGTAGAGCCTTTATCAGTCAGACACAAATGAATTCTAACAGCAGTAGAAATTAACATAATTATAGAGGAGGCAGTAAAATTTTTTTTTGGGATCTACAAATAGAAATTGACAAATCTTGTACAAGTTAATTTGAATATCTAAAAATACTTTTAAATATTTGAGAAATGGCCAGTTTCTTTTATGGTGTGTAATTTTGATTGATTTATTGACTGATCATGTTTGGTGCAAATAAAGCGATAAGACACGCCCACTCGCAATCTCCGCCCACTCAATGTGTTATTATCATCTTAAGCGCTTGTTGAGTAGTATTGTCAACCTGGGTTATTATAGGTAGTCGCGACGCGAGAGGCTCACAGCTCTGGATTAGAAGCTGCAAAAGAGCTGGCAAAGTGTTGATGAATGTGTGTGTGTGTGCGAGAGTGTTAACTGGTGAAAATTCTGTTTTTCTCAATTCGTGTATAGAAGAATAATTTAGCCGACACACCAAATATTTTGCGTCGCTCTCGGCCTGTACACACAATTGATATGTACATTTCCATATAAATAGAGTATGTGTGTACACTTTGAATATTGACTTCTTCTGTCTCTCTCTCCGCCAATCGGTCTCAAGGGAGGTGTTTGTCTCTGTGTGTGGTGGTTGGTGTGGGTGGTGGTGGCGAAAGGGTGGCAAATGAGTCCAAAGCGGCCCACAGAGAGATGCTCAAATAGCGCATAAGCTCCAATTGTGGGCCCACATCCATCCCTGTTCGCAGTATAAGGCAGCAAGATAAGCGCGCTGGGGGAAGTGAGACGAGTGTATATATTGCAAAGAATTGCTAAAACTGATAAGAGGAGAGTTGTCGGCGAACGACCATGTCGCATTTCGCGCTCATTCCCTCTCTCAGTTGTATCGTCTCTTCTATATTTAACTCAAAGTAATATATTTTTGTAATAGCTTCATATTTCATACACCATTGCACACACTTCATGTGTTGATGTCTCATTTAGAGACACGACAAGGTATCTCTGGCCATTGCCAGATATGAATTCTTTCACCATCATATATTATCAACCCCCAAAAACAGGGGAGAATCGATGTGCGAGAAAAAAGACACATGCTTCGATATCAAGAGGTGGAGTGAGACAGATGACAAGTATGATTATTCCATTGACTTTTCCACATACGCGATCTTTTCTCTCTGTTGACTCCGTGTGAGGAATTCTGGTGTTTTCACAGCTCTCTGATAAAACTCGACAACGCGTTGAAAATCTGGCGGAGAAGCGCAGTTGCAAAATGCAAAATTTCCTTTCATACTCCTCTGACTTAATTTGCCACCCAATTGATTGTGTTTCCGGTTAGAGGCTGACACTATTCGAATCGATGCTGAATTTCTGGTTTTTCTCCATCTTCACAAATGCACTGCATCTCACTAAACCATAATCTTCTAATTGAATCACAGAGATTCAATCAGAGTGACTTTCTTGCACTGAGAACTTGAAAATATAACATTGAAATTGTGTATTAAATTTTCTCATTCTAAACCATCAAGTAATTAATGCAGGATGAAAGGGAAAAGCAAGTGAGAAGAATTATTTGATAAAACTGTGAATTTTACCTCGTGAAAAATTCTTGAGAGTGTTTTTTTCTTTTTGCCTTCTTAACTTGCCAGTGATGTGAGAATCTGATTTTCACTGGATCGCCAATCGAAATCACTGGGCTAAATATAAACTCACTCATTCTCACTTTTCGTACAAGCAACAATAATAAATAACGCGTCAGATAATTGTATTTTCCATACTTGAGCAGCATTCGCAGTGGCTTCCGTGAGGCCAAAGACGATCATGGAATCACAAAGAGCAATTGGCGCCATGACATGAAAGCGCCCTAATTTATCTAATCTGCCTCGAAAAGAAAGGAGAAGAAAGAAAAAAAACTCCAGCAACAATCGTCTCTCCCACTGGACAATATTTGCATGAAGAGATCTTCCCTCAACTCCGCAACTTCTGCACACTCTTTAATGTATACTCTTTGATTGGGGGGTGGGCGGCTATAATTCGCCATCGACACTAATGCGCGACCGAGCCCAGTTCTGCCTGAATTTGTTTACATGCCTCTAATGGGGGTGTGTGCTTTGCGATTTTCCAAGAAATTTTCCAAACCCACTTCAAGACACCGAGAATGCCATCGAGAGTGCCTTCGCGCCAACTCGGACGCGATATTTTGCCTCCTGTTCTTGGACAATCCAGAGGAATTTCTCAATGTTTTCGGGAACTGCCTAAATATCGCAGGAAGATAAACAAACTTTCGTCAGAATGACAATATGATAAACATAAAGTCAATGATGAGAGACACTTTAGAGCCACACTCAGCTTCATGAGAATGCTTATTTTGCTCGTGATTGTATTTATTATGTGTACAAATAGGGAGTTTGGAAATATGCTTGAAACATCGGAATTTAATGAAATAATAATCAGATTCAATTGATTTCACAATTATCGCACCCATAAATATAAAAACACCACTGAGATTAATTTGTGTTTTGTAAGAAAACACAAATATTTGTATCCGGATCGAAGAGCCAGGAAAAAATAATAATGAGTGAGAATAATTTTTTAAGTCACTTTTCTTTTGAGAAGATAATATTTCAGCAATTTCACGCAGTTTTACAATCACCAGAATTATGTAGATTAAATTAAATTCTAAATTACTCAATATCAGAGAGTTAAGTTATCAATTTTATTAGCTTTAACGCCACATTGAGCGACGAACTTCTTGAAAGACTTGCTGAAAGACACCCCAATGATTTGTCACTATATTGAACCATAAATGTAGCATTTTTATCTATTTTGCCATATTTTTTCCTAAAGTCCATTTGGAGGATTTATGTTGATTATTTGGACGTGATGATTAAGACTAGTCAAAGGAGGGAGAGAAGAAAAAAAAATAGAAGATGAAGAAAGAGAAGCAAAACGACAGCAATCAAATAATCTTCACAGTCATACGCATAAATTTGTGTTAATTCTCTCACCACGATTCTTCGACAAAGCAGAAAATCTCGCAAAAAGTTGTTATCGATTTGTGGTGATTCCATCAGTGAGAGAGAGAAATAAGTATGTTTATGCGTCTGAGTGCTCGCCTTTGGATCAAAACTGCAAAATATTCCGTGAAATCTCTTTGAGAGAGAGGAAATCAACACATTTCTTAACAGTTTTGCTATTGATGATTTTGCGGCTATATGAGCTATTTGGCTGCATTGCGCCGCACGATGTTTAGGATCTGCCTAAGAGTGGGGCATATATATATGTAATTGAAGTGATTCGAGAGAATGTTTACATTAGCGGCCGGAGATTCATTTGGGCGATCCAAGAGATCACGGAATGGGGTTTTTTGCTCCTCGCGGGATGCTGTTATGCCGCGCCTGAAACTGTTGCACAGATGAAGTGTGGTGAGAGTCAAGAAGAGTGGATGGCTAAAAATAAATGGAACTGGATGTGGTCATCGCGATGAATTTTTTTTTGTTCTGCCTCATCTTCGCTGCCCCGCGTGTCATACTTTCCTCTCTTCTGGGGCCTTCTTTGTCTCTGCGCGCCTCACCTTCGCTTTATAGGCTCTCGAGGGTGTTGATTTGGCGCGCGGCAGCTCCAATCGGCCGAGAGTCAATTTGTGGGTTACAAGAGTTGTGAATGCTGGAAGTTAGAATAGCTTAGGTGTTGCTTTGATGGCGCGATTGAGCGAAATCCGCGCGCCGCGCTCTCGAAAGTGTCACTGCACCAACACTGGCCTTTTCCCTTTGCAACAGACTCAATGGCACCACACGCAACTCCCTCAGCTTCGTGTGTGCCACTGCACTCTTGTGTGTCCGCGGCAAAGAGTGAAAATTTGCCATTGCATTCTTTCTGTCTTGAATGAACCTCTCTCGATGGCATTGTTTCACGCTGAAATACTAGTCCAAAAGCAACTCGTTCACCATGATTCAACACAGCTGATAAATTCCATATCACTCATTGTTCGGGGAGATTGTGAACGCGGAGACCAAGACTAGTGTGTAAAAATTGGAAAATTGAACATATTGACTCAATGCATTGCAGTTGTAGCGACAGAGCTTTCAGCGCGAGCTTACACTGCCTTGTCGTATTATTAGTTCAATGCAATTTTGAGAGTTATTGTGAGTGAATGAAAATGTAAACAAGAGCAGAAACTTCATAACAGTGATCACTCTCAAATTCTACTTACTCGAAGTTTGATTTCCAATCAAGAGAAACATGATATATGACTAAGATTTAAAATTAACTAAAATCTAACTGATTTGATGACTTTTCCGACAATTTTTTCATGATCTATGTAGAATACTGAATGTGAAACTAAATTTCTTCATTCATCCACTACGCGCCGAAAGCTCTGAGAGAATCTGTATCAAGTGTGTGACTAAAGCTTGTGAAATGCAGTGTTTCAATGCGAATGTGTATATAATGTGCGACTGAAGTGTAAGTGCGAAGGCAAAAGTGTAGAAAATCGTGATAAAGAGCGGAATATGTCTTCAGTCTTACTTCTTTCACCTCTTCCTAGATAGAGAGAGAGACTCACGATGACTTTTCCCAACACATTGGCACGCATTTATATAACGTGCATATTTTGACATGTTGTGTGTGATGTATATTTTTGAAAAAAATGCGAGAGAGAGAGAAAGAAAGAAGAAAAAAGATTGTAAAAAGCTACACGAACTCCCGCAAAGACCTTGAGAGCTAAAATTAGACACTCTCGGCATGTACTTCACATTTGTATTGAGGTATCATAAGTAGATGTAATGTTAAGTGTCTACATATGATTATTTATACCACACAAACCGATAGAGCTTTTTGATATCAACATTTCACACATTATCACGCGGCGCACAAGAAGTTGGGTTGTGTGGAAAATGTGTATTTATCCCTCAAATTGTCTCACCTTTCTTGCGGACAAATCTGCACGCGAGTCTGCTAAAATAGAGACTCTCCTTCTCGTGAGTCTTGTGGTGGACACCAAAGAGTGCATTTGTCACGCACACACACAACACGGAAAAGTCCTCCTTTTCCATTGAAGTTTCTCGCGTAAATGTATGCACTTATGAATAATGTAAATAATGTGTGATATGATGGAGAAAATTGTCTGTGTGTGAGCGAATCTATAAATAGACTCGACAGAGAGATAATGTTAATTCTTCCCCCCTTCTTTTTCGACTATCTCCTCTAAACACTCGAATTGCAGAGACACTCAATCCGTTCCCACGCACACACGCGCGCACACAGTGCGTCTGATCCACCTGAGATTGACGGCCTGGCCTCTCTTCCAGGTGTCTGGAGCACATCTGTGGAGTCGCGCCGATCGGCCCCGCTGCGAGGGGCCATGACGTGTTGGCCCTTGTCTGTGCTCCTCCTGCTCACGGCTGTGACCGCCGCGGTCGCCTCCGCCACACCGGATGGCTCGTCCAGGGAGCCCAAGCAGAGAACCCTCGTGGGACGCTTCGGCAGCGAGGGCTACTCCGACCGGCACTCGGTGCCCAGAGACAACGCCAAGACTGTCCTCACCGTTGGCTACCTCACGGCCATCAAGGGCGAACTCAAGGACAAGCAGGGCCTCGCGATCTCCGGGGCCCTCACAATGGCGCTGGATGAGGTGAGCTTGTTTGTCACTCTTAACACTTTGCCCAAAGTCTTCGGTGCGATTTCCCAGTCGGAAATCTGCTAAGATTTCTCAGCTAATCCTTTGCCTGATTCTCATAGATTCTTGTTTCGAAAATCTTAGTGGAGGAAAAGAGTGAGGAAATTAGCAATTAAATATTATTACTCTGTTCAATGCAATATTTCAATTGAGTAAAATTCTTTCATGGTGACTTCTTGGAATGGTCATAAAGTCGGTTAATTTGGGGAGACAAACAACCTGTTTTTAGGCATCACGCGTGCGAAATTTCGTGATAAAAGCTGCCATAACGGCGAGCATGAAGTATATTTGTCAGTGGCGATGAGTTAAAAATAGCCGCGCATTGCGAAGGGAGGGAATTTCAATGTGGCGAGAGTGCAAGGTGAAGGTTTTCCTCATCACACACACACACACTCCAAAAATTCTGACTCCTTGTGTCTCTCTTTGCAGATCAACAACAATCCCTACATTCTGCCCAATGTGACTCTGGCGCTGCGCTGGAACGACACACGCGGCGACACCGTGCTGGCCACGCGTGCCATCACGGAGATGATTTGCGACGGCGTGGCGACGTTTTTTGGACCGGAGGGACCGTGCCATGTTGAGGCTATTGTGTCGCAGAGTCGCAATATTCCAATGATTTCCTATGTGAGTTGCAAATTGACCGCGAGGGTGGGCAAATTTGTCAATCGCCGCAATCCCAAATTGTATTCACGTGCTTTAGCAATTTGCCAATCCCGCCATCATGAATGCTAATTGGCAGCGTCCGAGGAAGAGCATAATTCGTCTATTAAAAATTATTAATAAAGCGCCAAGGCGGCGCTCAAGTCCCATATTCATACTTATGTGTGGTTCATCAATAAATCCAACTCGTTCGACAGGTGACACACCTTTTCTCTATACGCATTTTCCGCCCTCTTTTTGTCTTTGTGTCTCTGTTGCCACCGAAAATATGATTCACAGAGAGTTTGAGTTTGAGAAAAGACCCCAAAAGTGTGTATCCGAGTAATAATTGCAAATGGATGTGATTTTTTGCACTTTTCTTCATGCGCAGCACAATTTTCACTCGAGAGAGCGCATTTTTTACTGCACACGAACTTCCGCAAGAAACCCACGAATTCGAAGCCATCGACATTGGATCCCTTGGCAATAAGACTCATGTGTTCCTTCTCCTCATTGTTCTCTTTGTCCACCAATAGTGCTGAATTCCAAATTTGATCCACTCAACTCGGCGATTTGACACTGCAATTGCACTTAATCGCATGTCTCTTGGTGGGATATTTATAGAAATGCTCCGATTACATGGCGTCCACCATTCCAACATTCGCAAGAACTGAGCCGCCGGACACGCAAGTGACCAAATCCATCATCTCCCTCCTCAACTACTACGGCTGGAAGAAGTTCTCCATCATCCACGAGGAGCTGTGGACCACCGTGGCCAATAATCTGCAGGAGCAGGCCAAGCAGAAGAACATGACGGTCAACCACATGCTGCCCGTCGTGGACAATCACAAGTGCTGCGAGAACAGCATGGAGTGCTGCAGGAGTGGCTACTGGTACCAGGTTGTGCAGGTGAGAGTGGCCAGGAAGATAAGCGTCAAGAGTAGGTCAATAGATTTTGCGGCAAATAACGCCTGTCGTCGCAGAAAAAGCGACAGAGAAGCAAAGATCATAAAATGTGGCAGAAAGGCAAGAGAGAGATTTTTGCAGAAGCCCAAGTTCAGTGACTTATTGAGCTTTTTAATCTCATTTTCCAGCATTTACACAGTCAGATCATGGTTTTAGATCTTCACTGTCGATCAATGAAGGCTATTTTGAGAAACTGATCAATCAAATTGAGACTCCTTTTGTCATGTCACGCGATATGGAACATCTCGCGATGTCACGCAGTGATTTCCGCCTTTCCCCAGATGATTTGCTGATGATTTTGAATTCTTGGCCGTGCGCCACACACTTTTTCACACACACACACACACACAATGATTTTCCCTCTGAATGTCCCCGCAGAACACGATGAACAGGACGAGGATCTACGTGTTCCTGGGGCCCGTGTACGCGCTGGTGAACATGATGGAGGCCATGGATGCCGTTCAGCTGTTCGCCAAGGGTGAGTACATGGTGATCTTCGTGGACATGATGACATATTCCACGCGCGAGGCGCAGAAGTACATCTGGAAGCCGGATCATCTCAACAAGCACACCTCGTGTCGGGAGATTGACAACTTCAAGCAGCGCGCCAGGAGTCTGCTGGTCATTGTGTCCTCGCCACCGGCGGAAAACTACGAGAGCTTCACTGAGCAGGTGAGGGAGTACAACAAGAGAGAGCCCTTCAACTTCTCCACGCCGATCTTCTTTAAGAAATACATAAAGGTAATTGTGCCGTCTTGCGCGCGCAACTCTTGACAATGATGAAGAAAACTTTGTCTCTTTTGGCAGTTTGTGTCTATTTATGCGGCTTATTTGTATGATTCTGTGATGTTGTATTCATTGGCGTTGGATAAACTGTTGAAGGATGAGCAGAAGCCTCTGACACCGGACTTGATTCATGAGATAGCCAGCAATGGCACGAAGATAATTGAGACCATCATCAACAATAAGACATACAAAAGTATGAATTCTTTCCCTTCTCAAGTCACACTTTCACTGCTGATTTTCACGGTGTGTTTTTTCACCTTGTCATTTTTGCAGGTATTACCGGAGCGACGATAAAGATTGATGGAAATGGTGATTCCGAGGGTAACTTTTCCGTGCTGGCGCTCAAGCCTTTCCACTTTGTCGAGGAGAACTTCTCCTGTGACTATCACATGATGCCAGTGGCGTATTTTCAGCAAGGAGAAGATTTTCCAGTGAGTGAGTCGTTGTTTTTCTTGACTTTTGGCCATCCAAAAGCCACCATTTCGCCCACAAACATTTTTTTTCGGCTTTCGATTCTCACATAAAAGATACACACAGTCTCAAGAGTTGTAACTTTCGATGCTTGGCCGATATTGTGTTATCAGCTTTCTTAGGAAAATATATATGCTCTATATTCTCTCCACTCGCCGGTGAGCTAATTTTAGACCGCAGTTAGGAGAACTTTTAATTAGAGATAAACACACAAACACACACACATTCACTTATCTGTGTGGAAAATCTCGTTTGTTTTCATTTTCAACACCCAAGAAGAAAAACTCTCAAAACGCGCGCTTCAGTCTCAGCAAGAGATCTGCAGTTGTGGAAGATTGTAAAGGATGTGATAAGGAAACACCAAGTTTAGCTTATGGGTGTTCATAATGTGATCAAATTGATTTTAAAATGAAATTTTCAAACTATCATAACTCGAGGTCTATGGCATTGACGTAAAACTATAACTCCTCAGGAGACATTCTGACCATTTAATAGCGCTGTGAGTCCATTTACGACTGACGGACGGTTATGAATATGTTGCAATTATGTAGTTTGGAAGCGTCTGCAATGATTGAGAAGTCTCGTTAATGCAAAGTCGTGTGAAAATTCCTATTATTACGCGTTTTATGGACTGTATTATGATTTGTGAAAATCTACCACGCAGCTTCGCGTTTTATTTGGCCATTTAGCATGATGAGGGCGATAATTGAATTCAAATATCACTGCGTTAACATGCTTTACGTAACACCGGTGAGAATTGACTGAGGAGTCTCCGCTTCTCCGGCAGGAATACAAGATCATCAATGCGTCCGTGAAGATCGACTGGCCGGGCGAGGATCGACCCTTCGATGAGCCCTCGTGTGGCTTCATGAACGAACTGTGTCCGCGCGATGACACGCACATCACGTCAATGGTGGTGGCGGGCATTCTGGCGCTGGTGCTGTTCTGCGCCGGCGTCATCACGATGAGCATCTATCGCAAGTGGAAGATCGAGCTGGAGATCGAGGGGCTGCTGTGGAAGATTGAATCTCACGAGATCAAGGGCTACTTCAACAATGACATCGTGTCGTCGCCCAGCAAATTGAGCCTGGCCAGCGCGGCGTCCTTCAACTCGCGCTGCTCCAATCAGGTCTTCACCACCACGGGCAGATTCCGGGGCGTGGTGGTGCGCATCAAGGAGCTGAAGTTTGCACGCAAGAAGGACATCTCGCGCGATATCATGAAGGAGATGCGATTGCTGCGCGACCTGCGACACGACAACATTAATAGCTTTATTGGGGCGTGCGTGGAGCCTATGCGAATCCTACTAGTCACTGATTACTGCGCCAAGGGGAGTCTCTACGACATCGTGGAGAATGAGGACATCAAGCTCGATGATCTCTTCATAGCGTCACTGGTGCACGACTTAATTAAGGTGAGTGTCTCTTGCACCACATCTTAATGCACTGTGTGCGATGCGCTAAATATCATCCTTCGCAGGGAATGATTTACATCCACAACTCAGCTTTAATATTCCACGGAAACCTCAAGTCCTCAAATTGTGTTGTGACGTCGCGCTGGATGCTGCAAGTGACGGACTTCGGACTGCACGATCTGCGGCACTGTGCCGAGAATGAGTCCATTGGGGAGCATCAGTACTATCGCAGTCAGTTCTGGAAGGCGCCGGAGTTGCTGCGAAATCCCACGATCTACGGCAGCCAGAAGGCTGACATCTACGCCTTCGCCATTGTCCTGTATGAGATCATCAGTCGCAAGGGGCCATTTGGGCAGACGGGTTACGAGCCGAAGGAGATCATTGAGATGGTGAAGCGCACGCCATTGGACACAGAGGAGCCCTTCAGGCCGGACCTGGAGAGCATCACAGAGATGGACAATTGTCCTGACTACGTTCTCAATTGCATCGAAGACTGCTGGAATGAGAATCCCGACCTCAGACCAGACTTTGCCACTGTGCGGTGAGTGACGGGAAAAAGGTTCTTTGATTCATATGCCCTCTAGATTCACGATCATCTTCCATCCCTCTAGGACTCGACTGAAGAAGATGCGCGGCGGCAAGTCGAAGAACATCATGGACCAAATGATGGAAATGATGGAGAAGTATGCCAATAACTTGGAGGACATCGTCAATGAGCGCACACGATTGCTGTGCGAGGAGAAGAAGAAGACTGAGGATCTTCTCCATCGCATGCTGCCGCAGTCCGTGGCGGAGAATCTGACCCGCGGACATGGTGTGGAGCCTGTGTCCTTTGACTCCGTCACAATCTACTTCAGCGACATTGTGGGCTTCACGGCGATGTCAGCCGAGAGCACGCCACTGCAGGTGGTGAACTTCCTCAACGATCTCTACACCGTCTTCGATCGCATCATCAAGGGCTACGATGTGTACAAGGTGGAGACGATAGGAGACGCCTACATGGTGGTAAGCATCCCCAATGACTCCGTCTCCTTCTTCTGTCTCATTCCTCCATCTGTTCGCTGTTCTGCAGGTTTCCGGGCTGCCGATTAGGAATGCCGATCGCCATGTGGGTGAAATTGCGTCCATGTCGCTGGATCTGCTGCAAGCGGTGCGATCGCACAAGATCTCGCATCGTCCCAACGAGACGCTCAAGCTCAGGATTGGGATGCACACAGGACCTGTGGTGGCGGGCGTTGTGGGACTCACGATGCCACGATACTGTCTGTTCGGTGACACTGTGAACACAGCTTCGCGGATGGAGTCGAACGGCGAGGCGCTCAAGATTCACATTTCCGGCCAGTGCAAGCAGGCGCTGGACAGGATTGGCGGCTATGTGACTGAAATGAGAGGTGTGATTCCGCTTAAGGGGAAAGGTGAGCAATTTTTGCAGCCTGTCGAGTGTCAATCTCTGCTAATCTTGCGCGCGATCTGCTGTCGTTCCAGGTGAGGTCGTGACTTACTGGCTGGTTGGCGCCACTGAGAAAGCCATTCAACGGAAGCCCGTGGCGTTGGAGGATATGCCACCGCCGCTGTTCTGTCGTCCGCGACGGAGTCCGAAGCTCAACTGCGATTCCCGTCAGCCGAGTCTCATCGGAGCGGCGCACTTTGGTAAGTTCACCAGGGTGGAATGTCTCAGCCAGTTGGCGTCTGACTCCGATGTCTTTGCAGGTGCTGGCAGTCGGCGGCAGTCAAATATTCCGCGCACGGACGTCGAGAGCACATGCAGCCTGCAAGGATCCATTCTGCACGGCTGCCGGGACTCACCGAGGCCCACGCAGAGGAAGCTGGAGCGCGTGCCGCTGTATCTCAACGAAGAATCTCACCATGTGCTTGAGCATGTTGAGTGCTGCGAGCCCGTCAACGGCGGCGACTGTCCGAAGAAGCCCTTCGCCATGGTGAAACCCCGCCAGGTGCTGCGCTCGATTGCGTCCAGCGATGAGTATGGCAAGTTCGAGGGCATCTTGCGCGAGAGTCGATCGCTGGATCCGTTTCCCAGTCAATTGCGGCGACGGGACATCTTCAAGATGCCCATCAAGTTTGCCAAGCGGGGCTCCAGATCACTGGAGGCGGGCGTCGGCACACCGGCGGTCGTCCAGATGAGTGGTTCCAAGTCCTCCGTGGCCACTTCGGTGCCGCTGACCAGCCAGCAGATCGCCGAGCACTCCAATAACAACTGCAACGGCAGCATTGGCACGGAGGACGCCAATTGTCCGCTGCTGCAGCGCCAGGGCTCCCTGACGAGTCCTGTGGACGAGCTGCTGTTCCACGCGAAGCGCTGGCACTCCCTCGAGTCCGTGGCCATGGACAATGAGTCGGCCAGCAGCAAGAAGCCACTCGGCAGGGCGTCCATTCGCTCGTGGCTTGTGGGATTGTTTCAGGGCAGCGCGCTGAAGAACAGCGACGCGTCGTTGCGCAAAGTCTGCACGGTGCAGAGTGGTGTGAAGCCCGCCTTCAACGATCTCCCGGCGTCCGTTGAGAAGGAGAGCATCGTCTGAGGACACAGCCACAGGCTCTCGATTCCTCCGCGGTGGTGGGACTCGGAAAGGGGGGAGGGGAAACGTGATCAAAATTTAGGATCTTTCCTCGCCACACATCCTTGAGCTTTTCTGGCGCGAAATGTGTCTTATAATTTATTTTAACTTATGTCATTACTTATTTATCTCTTAATTTATATATATAGTGTTTTTTTTTCTTAACTCCTTTCGGCTATGACGCGCGGCAAACCGTTCGCCGGCGGTTTCCCAGGCGCACGCCGCGCCAACCAATCCAAGCTTTCCGAGTGCCAGGGAGGAAGAGAGAGAGAGAGAGAGAGAGCCCTTAGCGAAATTGGATTGTTTTCCAGAATCACAGTGAAAGACAATCGGTAGCGAGAAACGAGAGACTTTGTTATCCTCAGATGTTGTAGGATGTGTGCTTGTGCAATTGTTTAATTAACGAGTTTAATGTATAACCCAAGTTTTTAACAAGAATCCTTTGACTTTGTGATATGCGTCAAACGTTGCAGTTGTGGCCACATTGAGTGACATTGGCGATCAGTGCAACAATTGCTCAATGTGAACAACAACACGTTTCTTTCTCATGCAAAAACAAATGGATGAAATAGTCCAAAAAAAAAACATATTATTTAATTCAGTCTTCAAGTGATATTACACATGAATTGACAGAGTTTTGGAGCAAAATTTGAAGAATTTTTTGAGCTTGAGTGAATCACAATTGTTCCACAGAAAGGGAATTTGAATTAAGGAACTTTGTGGCATTTATGAGGAAAAAATTTGTATCTCAACCTTATTAAATTTCTCATGTCTCTGGCAAACTGCACAGTGTTAAAGCAAAAAATCTCAGAAGCTCCGCCCATTTTCATGCTCCGCCTTCTGATAAGTGTCAAATGTGTAATTTTCTAGTGACATTTGTCAATCTTTCCAGCGTGCATTTGTGTGAATATCACTTGAGAATAGCCAGAAAAAAAATAATCCTTTAACAAGAAGACAACGATAGAAATCCAAAAAGAAAAAAAAGGCACAAAACAGGGTAGATTTGAAAGAAGAAAAAGAAGAAAAAAACGCAAAAGAAAACTTTAAGGTGATTGAAAATAAGAAGGTTGTTGGGAAAATGTTTTTCGTTACCGTCACAAGATGAGAGCAAATGTGGATATTTTTGAGAGGCGAAAGGACTTGTTTTTTTTTTTACAAAAAATGTAAAAGATATATTAGAGAGAAAAGAAAAGAAACCTAGTGTAAATAGCATCTGAAAAACAAAAGAAAAAAAGAGCGAGAGACAGTGAAGCTGCATAAAAATTAGTATTTTTTTTTTTTTTGATAATAAGAGGTGTAAATGTGGAGAAAAAGAAGAACAGATTAACAGATTAGGAAGAGATAAAGATATAATGAAGTAAAAAAAAATATCATATGCAGATAAGAGTTTAGTGTTTAAAAGTTATGTGTATGTAAATGAAATTATTTAATGGAAAATGTGCCATTTTATTCAACTGCTGAGTCATTTACATTTGTGATTAATTTGTGTAATTAAAACAACTAGAATGTGTTTTTTTCTTTTCTTTTGTAATCAATGAAGGAACTTTTCCATGGAGATTTCAAAAAGAAAAAAAAGGGGAAACATAAGAATATATTTTATTAGTAGATATCAAAATAATTTCTATTCCTTTGACGACGAAGAAATCAAAAAAAAAATTGAACAAAATGCGAAGCAAAGTATGGGAAAATCGTACTATAAGTCTTTTTTAGTAGGAAAAGAAAAGTGGAATAAATACGGGCTCTTCAGGAGTGATTCTAATAGTTATCAATAGGCGATAAGGCAAAAAAAATATTGAGAAAATATACAATATATATATATATTACCTAAAGAAGAAAGAAAGAAAAAATGAGAGAGAGAGAGAAAATACGAGCGATAGAAATCATATTCTTTATTTTTTCTTCTTCTCTTCTTCAACATGAGAAAGGAAAAAGAAATTTAAAAATCAAAAAAAAAAATAGTTCCATTTTACTATTTTTTGTTTTTCTCTCATTCGCAATTAAGTGTAATAATCCAATTGTTTTTTTTTTATATATATTTTTCTTTGTTTCATCTTCTCTTTTTCATTTGAGAAATGATTGAGAAAAGTAGGCTGTGACAAAAATCGTTTGAGTTTCAATATTTTCATTTATTAAATGTACAATAATTTCAGAGAAAAACGCCCCGGCATTTGTTTTTCTCACCCATTCCTTGCTTCTTTTTCTTATGTTGCGAGCGTCGCTTCTTCTCCCTTTGTCGCACATCACGTTGCAGCTCACGTTGTCGGCTTGCCGACGGAGAGGAAGCCGCTGGTGTTGGAGAAGTACTTGGCATTGGAGTCAATGGAGCGCTCGGCCGCCTGTGGATTCACGATCTCGAGGCCCTGGAGGGGCGTGAAGGCCACACTGGAGGCCGTGCCGGACACCTGCTTCTTCACCGTCGTGCTGCCGCCCCACACTTGCTGGCGCTGCAGATTCTTCTGCAGCGTCTTGCTGATGCGCACCTTCGTCTTCTCATCCACCTGCGGCAGCCGAATGCGGCCCGTGCCCGATTTGCCCAGCACGCCACGCGAGTAGCCCAAATCCTCCTGATATGCGTCCTCCTCGATGTCCCCGAAGTTCATCCTGTTGGCCTGCTTCCGGAACTCCGTGATCGCGTAGCGCTCCTTCATCTTGCGCACGCGCCGGCCGCCGCGCTTCTTCTTGCTGCTCTCAATCGGCTTCGGCAGGGGCTTCACGAACTTCACCGGCGGCGGCTCCTGCAGCTTGTCCAGCTTCTTCTCGATGTCCTCCCGGAACTGCTGCCCAATCTGTCCGCCGTTGCTCTCGTGGCACGCATCCACTCTGGCCGCGAGCGTGCACTTTGCCGCCACGAGGCGAGCGGCTTTCCGGCGCAAGTCCGGCGGCGTGTCCTGAACGATGTCCGAGTAGTAGATGAAGCCCGTGTGCGGCAACATGGCCACCTTCGAGAATCCCGAGAGCACGCGCTTCTTCGAGCCCAGGATCAGGACGTTGCACGCCGGCATCTTGGACAGCTTGATGAGTCCGCCGGCCAAGCCAAGGATCTTCGCAGCAGTCGAGGCGCCCACGATCACGGACAAGTTCGGCGCGATGAACGTCATTCGGCTCTCCACGTACTCGTAAATCTTCATCTTGAACGCATGCAGATCGATTGCCATGTCGCACGCCTCGCAGATTTGCTTCAGTTCCTCCTCATTCAGCTGCGCTCCCTGAGTCGTGGACGCCGTCACGGACACAATCATGATTGTGGCCTGCGTCAGCACCTGCTGCAGCGTCTCATTGTTCTTCACCCTGTCCAGATCATTGCCCAACTCCTTCACCGTCCGGATGTAGTCCAGCTCGCCCATCACCAGACTGTCGAGCTCAGGGAAGCGCTTCTGGTACTTATCCTTCGTGAATCTGTGAATCAGCACAATCTCATTGTCAATGTCCACCGCCACTGAGTTCGCCTCCACAATCAGCTGATACTCCGGGTCCGCCTCGACGCTCCCGACCATCTCTGAGGACTTCCTTGGCACCAGCTCACTGGCATAGATCTCAATGCGCCGCAGGATGTCCGCCAGCTTCGGCGAGTCCCTCAGTCTGCACACTTCCCTCACAGAAGACACCTTCACGTCCACCTCCATCTCTTCGGCGCCCTCGAGAGTGGCTTCCTGATCATCACCCGGATCGCCGGCGTCGTCCGTCTCCTCCATCGCGGTTTCCGTGAATCCGTCATCGTTCTCCTCAAGATCAGCCAGCAGCTCATCCGCCAGAGACATTTTTGCTGCTCTTCAGGTCAGATTTTCCGGGATTTAGGGAGAGAGAAACGTTTTCCTAGCACAACAAACACTTTGTTTACCTTTTATGTGAGGTTAAGTCGCTCTCAAAACACTCTTCTTGATGACGCATTCGCCATCTAGCGGAATCGATGACATTTCCCTCCAAAATGTTCACCACAAGTTTTATATGCAGACAAAGTCTTCAAAATGCTTCAAATACACAATTCAATTGAAGAAAAGCGACAAAATGTATTCATATATTAAATAAATTAATAAAGTTTTCACTTTTGAACATTGAAAAAGTTGAATATGAGTAGTTTTGAAAGCTTTGTCTGAACGCTCAATGGAAAATGAAGCAAGATAAAATGGGCAAAATACTTTTGCGTCTTTTGCGAACAAAAGAAATCAATTTTCATAGTGAACTTTTCTTCACACTCCGAAGCAGGTTCGCTCAAAATGCCGTGAGAATTGAGTAAATATCCTGAACAACTCCTCGTCGTAGTCGAATGTGTGAAAGGGTTCCGAGGCCGAGAAGCCGGAGTGTGAGATTAGCCGCCTGAGTGGGTTTTAACAGGAAATTGAATGTTGAGAAGAAGCAATGCGTGCCACAAGCAGAAGCAACATCATTGGCGAATGCACCAAATCATCCGGCAAAATCGATACACGCCCAACGCAGTCGGCAAAATGAACGTCCTCAGTAATTAATTCATCAGGCGAGTGCTTTTCACCCAAGTCCATCATTTCATACTCAGCCTGGGCCGCAAGATTGATCAGCCACTGGTCTGGTCAGCACTCGGAAGGGCAGAAAGGAAGTGTGACAGGAGATTTGAGGTAAGAATTCGCCTCTCTTGGCCACAGTGTGGCGTCTCTGGGAGCGATATATAAATTGCAAATAGAAGCCACACATATCTAATGCTATGGGGTGTAAGACAACCGCAAATATAAGAGAGGAATTGACTTTATAAATAAAACAGCTTCCGAATGCAATTTCCTTCCAAGTTGAAATTCAACTAAGCAGATGTCTATTTCGTCTGATTGCATTGACCAATACATAATAGATGATTTCTAGCACAGCCGAGGACGGAGAGAGGCGTCCCCAGAAGATTGAGTGGTGAACACATGCCCAGGGAAAGAGGAATGATGCGGTGCGCCAAGGAGATTGCCAACTTCAGGCGGGCGACGGCAGCGGGGAGGGGCGATGACTTCTCTAAAAAGGAGCCTCATCCTCTGGATCCCCCGTGAAAGCCAGTCAGTCTCTTTTTCAGCGCCTGCGACACTTCCGGCCACACTCAGCCAGTTGGACTATGAATTGGTAATGCGCCGAATGACTCAATGTCTGTGCGAAATTCAACGTTCTGCCGAAGTGTTTGTGTATATAAATTGGGATTTATCCGGAAAGGAGATCCGATACATCGTCTGTGTATGACCGTCTTGCCCAGCATCACTTTTCTCTGTGAATTTAAAATGACTTTCATAGTCAATCACAGAGGAATTGTGCAAAAATCCAACTGTACTTTCATGAAAATTCCATATGAAAAGTTCATAGGAATTCTTCCAAGATTCTCACGGGATTCATGTGCAAGAAGTTTCAACACAAATCTATATAGTGTGATTATTCCATCGTCTATGGAAATCTTCCTTGGTAAATCCTTCTAAAATACACACACACACTTTCTTTTGGAATCATAATTAGATATGCTGACAAATAATTCCAAGAATAATAATATAAAATTTCTCCTTGAATAGAAATTATACTCATTCTTGTATTAATTGTATTTCCACTTAATTGAGGGGGTTTAAAATTGTTAAAATTATAAATCTTAATTGCCTCAAAAGAGTTGTAAAAAAAAATCCATTTGTTGCTCAAAAATTGGCAGTTTTTCCTGCACCAACTGTCAGATTTTAATCAGTATTTTTCGCTATTTTTTGCCTTCTCTACATCATCATAAAAGAAAACTCACATAAAGCATTTTATTGTGCAGTCAATAGAGGAAATGACAAGAAAACGAATTGCAGGGTTTCCTATCATTTCTAATTGATTGAACAATTTTTAATTAGACTTCCATGGAAATCAATAGCAATTTTCCACTTTATGTACGATTTCTAATCCAGATTTAATTATAATCTTCTCATCATCGCCTTTTTTTTCATTACCTTTTATCACTTCACCTTTCATTCTTCTGTAATATCCAATTAATAAAGCGTCTCTTTGGTGCTTTTCAGCATCAGAAAGAATTTCCAGTGCGGGAAAGTCCTCATGACCGCCCGCAGTTCAATAAATAATTGCATCCATTGAATCACACCCTCACTGCTGATCTTTGACTCCGGAGCATCCGGTGCACGATGGACCTGAAGGCAGGGGGGTGGCAAAATCAATAAATGCGCGCCACCCATGCGGCATCTCAACCCACCTTCACGCAGAACACTTCGGGGGATGCCATAAGATGCGAGTGGCGGGGCAAAAAAATTAATAATTTTATTTATCAAGATCTTGCGAACCATTCACTGGCAATATTTCAAATAAATACGCGATGTAAACAGCATCGAAAGTCATATATAGTTGGGAGAGAGAAAAACGTGTGAGAGTGTGAGTTGGATGTTTATAAAACGGGCTTCAGGATAAACGGCGCGGAAAATTGTCAATTTTGTTTCCTCTTTTTTTCCTCCCATTATATATATATGTATATATATAAAATTTTATTTATACGCTGAATCATGGCCCAACCATCGGCCCTGCGCGCGCCCCGGAGCCCCCATTATTAAATAATCTTGATATCTTATTATTGGAATTCACCATCAGTCTCGGCATTGAACAGTGGACGTCTGGGGAATTGAGTGGATTCTCGTGCTTTCCTCTTTGTCGTAAATTCGCTGGGAAATCACACCTCATCCGGGGAAAATCAATTTGCTGATGTGCAAGGCAATGGCCATTGTTCTCTCTTAAGCTGATTACTTTCTTTACTCATCCACAAAAGTTAGCAAAGACAAGAGATAAGTGGCTCTCTATAATGTTGTATTTTAGGGAAAATTATTATCCTCTTCTTAGTCAGTGAGATTGCCAGGAATTCGCTTATGACCCTTTTTTTACCAGTGCAAAGCACACACTTTTCACCACAGTGCAAAATCCATGAACCATTGAATTATATGTGATGGAAATGCTTCAATTATATTTGTGAAAGAAATCAATTTGAGCATGAGCTACAAATACTACGCTCGTCATATCTCCCTATAAAATTTTATTCAATGCCATGTCCCTTTTTCAGCCCCTATATGACCATTTCGATTCTAACGAATCCCCTGAATGGGGAGCTACTGTCCATGTTGAAGCCCACCCTGAAAGGCCGTGTGGCAAAGAGTGGCATCAGCACATAAGCAAATCAATCAGAAAATTTATCCCAAAATGCGGGCAATTTCGAATACCTTGAAATTGAAATTGATCCTAGGACGTCATAAAATTTGAGGATTTACCCACCCAACTTCCCTCTTTTTTCACCACCACCCCCGCACACACACGGCGGAAAGGGGAGGGTTCTTTTTTCTCTGGGTATGTGTACGTGAATGAGATTTTTATTCAATATCTTATTATAGCCAATATAGAGATACAAGACATGGCTGGGGGGGGATGTGAGGGTGCAAGAAAGAAAAAAAAATGGAACATTTGAGCTTTTGAGTGTGCCACAAGCCACAAACTCAGCCACATTGCCCTTCTTCGCCTGCCGCTTGCCAGAGCCTGACGAAGGGAAGAGTGAGTTGTGTGCAGGAGCCCAAGCTTCGGGAAGAATAATTCTTCCTTCAACCTTCCGCAACAGTGACTTTCAATACAAGACATTTCACTTCGCCCTACAAAATTTCCCGCCAGCCACGCGCTCAGCGAGGACACAAATTCTCCCTGATGGCAGAGTCGCGGCACTTCTCAAACCCTCAGGAGCTCTTGCAGTGCGAATGATATGAATCTCACGTGTGTGTATGTGTGTGTCTGAGGGGGGGGTGGGGTTGGAAGTTGGTGGAAGGCAGCAATAAAACACACAACGACGTAAAAATGCTCATTACGCGAATTAAATCGATATGGTTGCTCATTCGACAGTTCAATTGTGCGCCATCGCCGGATGCACGAGACCACAAGAGGAGCACAGCAATAAATACCCAGTTGTTCCGCTTTGAATCTCATCGGGCGCCTCCACATATCCGTGCCGGCTCAGGAGCACGCCAAGGAATCGGAGAAGAGATGGACCGAATGATGAAGCAGAACTGTCTCGACAGATGATATGCGGAAAATGACTTCTAAGGACATCTTAAAGTTTTCTTAAAAAAAATTAATTGTATAATAATACAGTTTAAGTCATCAAGTACTATTTTCTTACATAAACTAATATCTGGTCCTTCGACCCGGATAGTAGATAAATTTTTCAGCATTGATGACCTCTTTTCTTTAGAAAGATATCCAGACAGTGGCGATTCCTCCTCTTTTCTAGCTGTGCAGAGAGCAGTTTGAGGGTCATAAAGATGGTGTGGCAATGGCGTGAGTTTCAATTAAAATCCTCTAATGGCGGACGGAGAAGTATAGTTTGAGCACATACTCTTCGCCACTGTTACCGATAACTTTTTCTCAAAATACATATTAGGAAAGCTTCACTCCATTGTCAAATTTAAAGGACATTCAGTTCCAAATGCTAAGTGGAAAATATTGTTTGCCATTAAGTTTATCATAAATATTCCAATCACTATAAGTTATTGGTTTTCGCGGATATTTGGCCAGCACTTTTCAATTAAACATAATTATATGAAGTGTTAAATATTTACATATGACAAGTAGTGTGAAAAGGAGTGAAGTTCATTTTCAATTTAACAATATTGTGGGAAAGTCTTGTGAAATTCTGATGAAATCACTTATCTTGATGGAAATACTGAGAATGTCCTTTGGCATTTTTCAAATTAACTAAAGTGTCTTCTCGGAAGTCCAACTATGTACATATGCAATCTGTATGGAATGATTTTCATTTGAAAGTCATTCCGTGTAATATTTCGATTGAAGTTCTTGGGCAATCAAATTAAGTGGATTTGCTGCAGTTCCTCTATATATGTATGAAATCCTTCAAATGGACTTTTCCGCTCTTTGTAGAGCTTCCTGGAAGTGGCCAATCGACTGGATGCTTTATAGGCTTGATCGCCTCAAGCTTCACGTGGCATTAT